TTGTCATCGCACTTGCAGATCAGGTTTTTACGGTCCAACGCAATGAGTAACAAGTCACAACAATCGGCAATAGAAACGCACGTAAAAAATGGGTTGCTGTGCTTCAATGCAAATAAATCCCAAACTGCTATTTGCATATTACATTTTAAAAAGCCTTAGGGTAAAATAGTTTATTTTAGGTGAGAATCGCAGAACAAACTGCCGGCTTTTAAAAGCTAAACCAGGATAAAATGAATGAACTGAAAACAAAACAGCAACTTACAAGCAATTAAAATGAGTATAGTTTTTGATTGGATAGTTAGATAAGTCACAAATGTCAATGGATTCAGAATAAAAAGCTAAATTTAGGTTTTTACGAATTATAGAAATGTAAGTTTTTTGTTCCAGTTTCTAAAATCCAGAGACCTTGTTGAAAAGTTTATTATTTATACACTAATCTCTTATTTAAGCTTATGCCAAGCATCAAAACTATTTGAATGAATTAGAAAATTTTATTATTTATAATTTCGTAAGGTATTTCATAACTTCATTTTACACTTCAGTAAATGCAGAGTCATAAAAAACTAACTAGCTGTGAAAAAACCATATATTAACAAGAGTGGCTAAAAATAGTTTTTCCTTATAGCTTTTGTATTTTTTTTTTTTATATTTCGTATCCGTTAGTAAAGACACTTAAAGCACAGCTAAACGAAAAGGGGGATACAAAAATTTCGCTGCCCAAATTTATTAATTTGGAAATTTCCTCACCGAATTCCTGCACTGATTTGAACAATGCAAAACACTTAATTTATGCACAACATATTTTCAGCTTTCACCCATTGGAGAAAAGAAATTAAATTCAAAATACCGAGTGCGTTGCGCGTTTACGCCAGACTTACTGGGACTGAGGGAGTAGGCCAGCTTCTTGGCGAACTGTGACAAGCGGACGGAGAGCACGATCACGGGGAATCCCACCAGCTGGACGGGAAGTTCGAACAGTGGATCGGAACTTTGGGCCAGGCCCTCCTCCACGAACTCCAGAAGAAGGACCAGCAGCACGCAGAGCGTTGGCACCAGAGTCAGAGTGCAGATATACCGCAGATTCATGGCCGCCAACTGTTGTAGTTTCGTAATACCACTATATATGCGATCCCCGAACGATTCGAGTTCGAGTTTTGGACTTGGACTTGGAGTGGAGTGGAGCGGCAGGCGACTTGGTGCGCTTAAAGTCTTCGACTGACTGAAGCGACCTGCCGTCGCTTTGAGCCGCCAAAGCGCCTCATATAAAAATTAAACCAAACGTTAACTTAAACGTAAACGTAAACAAAGAGAAGCGGAGACCGAGAGTCGCTGGCCAAACCCCAAAGTGTAGGCCCCAAGAAATCACTTGTTGTGTAAAGCTTACACTCCCATGTGTGGGTTTTTGGGTTCAGAGACGTAGACAAAAAATGCAGGAGGAAGAAAAAAAATTTGTTTTGGTTTTTTATGACAAATTTTGTAGTTTAAAACTTATTTACATATATAAAAAATATACACATATAAAAAGGTTCTTCGATTGGTTAAACATTTATTTAGCTTGGTTTGGTTTTTTCAGAAAACCTATTTTTACAGTTTCAAAACATTTATTAAAATTATATTTAAATAAAAAGTTCAGTTTTTAAGGGACTTAAATGTTTATCATTATTTAATATAACAGTTTAGATTCAATCGAATAAAATATCATAGATGATTTAACATAAACATAAATATTTTAAATTATGTATATCGTTTAGAAAAAGTCAATTTTCGGGTGTTTCTAATTGCCTCTTAGATGTTCGGTTTTAAATTAAATTTATTTTTAGCTTCCAAAAAATTGCCAACCCCTTTTTTTGAAGCCCATGCGTTTTTGGGTTTTTTTGCGGGCCAAGTTTGTTTTGCATTTTGACCAAGTTTCGTGCGGAAACCAAAGCCAAGACAAGACCAGCAAGTGAAAGTGAGGCCCACTAAGCGGAGGGCGCCGGCATAGGCTCTCTACGCTCTCTGAAGTCCCCAAGTCCATATCGTATTTGTATCTTTTCCTCCGATTGCTCCCGTCGTCAGTGCAATTATGAAAAGTTATGAAATCTTTCAAGTCAAATGTCTGGACATTCGCACTTGAATAGTCGGGGTTTCCTTTCTTGCTCTTTGTTTTCTGTGGTTTTATTTTGGTCTTGGCGTTTGGCTTGCATATCAATTACCACATTTTCGATGGGTGTTACCGGGTGCCTCGAGTGCACGATTTCCTATTCGGGCTAGCAAGTGATTTGAGCAATTTGTTTCGGCTTGGTTTGGAGGTCAAAGGGAGAAGTTTGTCGGCAATCAACAGGCGAAACCAATTGAAAATGGCTTGCGCTAAAAGCTTTCTTCTAAGCAACTTAGCTGTCAAACTAACTTCTTAGATAACAGGTTGTAAATACAATTGGACATAAGTTTGTTGCTAAATAAATGACTTTTTTAATGTTTCAGGAAACAATTATTTTTGTTTTGTATTTGAATCTTAAAATCAATTTATAAAAATAATAAATAAGATAATAAAAATAATTTTTTTATGATCAAAAATATATATATAAAATAGTGCACAATATTTTCTTGAACTAGTTCATAAAAAATGGGCATATCTGACGCCATTTGGTCAATCCTACCATTCACCATTTACTTTGTTAGCTCATTTAATTATCACCATTGAAGTTAACCGATTGCTTATGCTCATGTTTGCCAAATCAGTTTTCGAAGACTCCATGGAGCACGTGTCGTTGGCCAGGTTAACGATTAAAGAAATGTAAAGTGAGGAAATAAAATCCATATCGAGGAAATCCACTTTTAATAACTGTGCAACTGCAATGAGGCGTCAGTAATAAGAATAAATTACTGGAGGCAATCGCCCATCAATGAGTGGTTCAATCAGTCAGTTGGCCAAGTTGCCGGGACCCGTTTGAAAACACTTCGACCAGATCACGTAGACACCGCCGCAGTTACGCAATCCACAGTGGGGACTCTCGAGCGGCACTCAAATTGTAAACGCTCCAACTACCGCTATTGGAAATTCGCTTTTCTCTCGCCGCTGCTTCAAAGTTTGCCTTACATTTTATGCACATTTTCTTCTCGGCTATGAATTTTTCTCGATGTGCATCAGGAAAGTAGGTTGGGAATGCAACTTTTGTAGGTACAAATTTTCGTGTTTTTCCAGTTTCCCTCATATGGTAAAGGTATTTAATATTTACACCCTTCATGAGGTATTTAAAATATTTGCATGCAAACAAATGCAAATTATGTAGTGCAAAATATATTCGTTTTTCTGGTGTTCCACACAAAAAAAAAGGTTTAAATATTTAATATTTAGTCTATTTTTAATATTTTTTAATTAAATATTTATTTAAATTATTTTTGCTGAAAAAAATGGACATAAATTGGTTTAAAAATTGTTTTTAAAATACGATATGAAACCTGTTTCCTGATTTAGATTACGATTAGTTATTTAAGTAGTATTTAATTTATTAACGTTAAAATTTTTTTATTTGTTGTATGTTTTTTGTTTAAAGAGTATTGAGGATTCGTTTTCTCAAAACTGTGGCCAAAATTTCGCTTTCATTTTTGACGTGCCCAAAAATGCGGAAATTATTAAAAGAAAGAAACGAGCTGCTGACAGAAGTCTGAGACAATGCAATTGCACCTGCTGCACCTGTTCACCTCCCACTCCGCCCCCCAAAATTGCATAAGCCAAACAACTTGTCAAACGTCGGGCCAAAAGCAGAAATTGAGCCGGGTCCAAGCCAAACATGAAAATTGGGCCAAAAGCTATACCAAACAATGAAAGTTGCGCACTGAAACACGCAACTAGCGTTACAACAACAAAAATGCTGAAGCAGTAAAACAAATCTGACCCAATTTCTGTTGATTATTACGAATTTGTTGACTTTTTTTTTGTTTTGTACGCTTTGTGCAATTCCAGGCTAAACTTGTTGCCAAATTGAGCGAGTGTGTAATTGGAATTTCAATTAGGATTCGATTTTCGAAACACATTTTCACTGGCATCGGTGATTTATTTCATTTATTGCCTCGTGTCACTGACTGATTTATGCATTATTGAAAAATCTAAAAATAATTTCTTGTTTTTGTTTACTTTCTAGAGTTTTTTTAATTCAGCCATCAATATGTTTGTCATAATCCGACAATTTCACCCGCTTGTCCATTCGTTTTTTTTCTGGCTGTTGTGTTCGGAATACTTGATCGATCAGAAAAACAATTGTAAACAAAGCGAAACATATTCTAAATTTTTTGCGCAATGTCATTGAGGCAATCGAATCTGCATATAAAGTGTGCACTAAAATTTGTGGCTTGTTTTTTCTTTATTCTTCGTTCAAGGTGGGTGGTACAGTTTTCAAGGCGCGCCTGAAAGTATGCGCTAAAAATGTGTGAGGTAATTGTATTTGGGCAGTAATAAAGAAATAATTTTGAAACAAAATCTTGTGCATGAATGCCAAGCAAAACATGACATAAACAAATTCAAACAAATTTCGAGCAATATTACTTAAAGATTGGGTATAACTTGCAGAGAGCGGCTAACTCTTCTAGTCATATTATGCTTTGCTTGACTATAGAAAATATTATCTGACCTTAATGAAAATGTACACGACAGCCAAATTTTAGTCGCCTAATCGGCTCAACCAATTTCCTATCAAACATAGCATGCGATACACCACTTTAAACCCCATTATACTAAACCAATTAAACTTCACCCAGTCAAACGAGAAAATGTTCAATGATTCATGAACAAATTAGTTTAATAGATTGCCGCATTTGATAGCGGAGGCAACCTTCCATTGCATAACAATTTCTAAAAATACGATTTCATTGCCAGCAGGTCGAACGCTTCCTAGCAATTACATACCCGTACATTAATGAACTTGTCCGCCTGTTTAAAAAGTGTGTTTTTTTGTCAAAGCCATTTCACAAATCGGTCGAAGGTGACAAGGCAAAAAATAAGATGGATTGAGGCAAGATCATTAGGGAGTATGCACAAAAGAGCGTAATTTATTAACAACTTCAGGAGCATCGTACTTAGGCTAGACGTAATGCTAGATCGGGTCGTGACTAGTCACACTTATTAATTACAAACTACCTAGGACTCGTAGCCAGAGGTGGATACAAGCCGATACAGTTCTACAGTCACTTCAGTCAAGTCGGGACTAAGGTCTAATCTAAATATAAGATAGTTTACATGGTAAGGTAATCCAATGGTGAAGACATATGGTACAAAAGTTGAGGTGGCTATACCTAATACTTAAGATACAGATTTCGGGAGTCTGGCAGCCGAGCAGCCTTAGACCCTCACTTTGTAGCTGAGTTTCATTAGCTTCTTGGAACTGATCGGGCAGTTCGGCCAGAGGTTGGCGCATCCCATCGGTCCACTGAGATTATCGCCCGTGTGGCGCATTAGTTCGCCCATGTGGGCAGCGAAATACCATTTGCTCGGCGGCATGTTCATCATCCAGGGCATTGTTGGAGATCTGCAAAGGCAAATAATGGGCACATTAGACGGAAGTTTCTCCACAGCCGAACAACTGAACAAATGTTAAATATTATAATAAGCCATTATCATTTCACGCTTCGTCTGCTATTTCGCCGGAGTTTGTTCAAGTTTCGCTTTCAGTAGTTTTGTTCGTCTATATCTGGATTCTAGAATGCCAGAGCCATTCACCTTGCGGTTTGCCCAACTCAACTATATATAGTGGCCAAGCTTTTACATTTGCTTCGGCTCACCTTCGCCTCAAGTGCGAGGTTACAGCTGAAGTTGAGGTAGGTTACGACTGCTGATCCATGGGTTAAGCTGCGGCTCAAATATTTGTCGCATTTAGCTAGCCTAAATAGTGGTTTTAGTTTCCCTAAGTGACAGCACTTTGTCTGTGGCTTGTTCAACCCCTTGTGAGTCACCTACAATTAAATCTGGTGAGTAATAACATTATTTGAAATCTAATGGAGACCAATTGAAGAAAAACTGCACTCGAACCCTATGAAACCTGTTTCTTAACTTTCCTAACTGCTGAATATGCAAATGTTTGGTAGATCAGTTCAGAACTGGTTCTACTTGTTGCACTTTACGAGCAAATATATCTCTACCAAATGAGAACTAAATAAATAAATAAACAAAACGTTCCCTAACTACGTCAAGAAATTTTGTAATCGATGCACTTACAAATTCTCTAATGGCAATTTATTTATTTAAATATTTAAAAACTAAAATTATTTGTCGAAAAGAAATTACGCCTTGCCATTTAGTTCAAACTAATTAAAATCTCAAAAAAAAATGTTCAATTCATGTTAAACCTGAAATTTTTAAGGTATTTCTAACAAGCTTTGTTTTATGTCAGATGCATTATAAATTGATTGTCGTTCTTATCGAAAAATAATATTACATAGTTAGTGCTGATGTTATACGATTGTTGATGCAAGTAATTGCCGACCGGTTTCATGAATATAAAGCATCCATAAATTCTTATATTTGCAGTTATCGCTGACATTTATATACAATTTGTTAAGTTTACTTATTAATTTGGATATTCGAATAAAAGTTTATTTACTTGAAATTAATTTACTACGGTTTCTTATGTAACTATTAAATTATTATAAATCAGTAGAATGCTTAGAATATTTGAACAATTGTTCAATTGTTTTTTGTAAATTTCTCAAACAAAATTTATGAACTTATATAGTTTTTCTTTCGCGTTCAGTGCACTTGAAACGTACCTGATCAGTCTCAGCAATTCCCGCTCCTTTTCGCTGAGTTGGTATTCCGGCTTGGAGGCCAGTTCGCAGAGCATCTTCGGAAGACACGACTCCTTGATGGTGTCCGTGAGCTGGGACTTGGTCTTCAGACTCGCCCCCGTGACGACTGCCATTCCCGGCTTCAGGGATTGAGCCGCTGCCGAGAGCTCATTGAAATCGTGCTCTGAAACAAAAATACAATTAAGTCAGGTATGCGGGCATTAATTAGGGGGCTGGAACCATTAGATTTTGGCATTTAAGTTTTTTTTTTCACTCGCTGGCTCATTTGCATAACTAACTGCTTTCGAATTGGGACTTTGGGAACTGCGCAAATCGTTAAAATATATTTGGGAAGAAGCGAGATGGGCGATCCCAAGCTCAAGGTTGCCAAATCTTAAGCTAAATTTAAACAAAACAGTGACTAATAGATGCTTAGAACAAAGTGTCAACAAAAAGGCAACAAATTGTAAACAATTGAGCAAATATGCAAATATATGTAGAAATTGAGAGTGTGGAAAGCGTAAAAAACAAAACAAATTTCTGTTTATTTTTTTGAGTGCATATTTGCGGTGAGTAAGCCAAATATTTGGCTGGCTATATTCAGTCGATCAGCTGTTGCGAATGTTTCCAACACTCATTAATCGACTGCCATGCCCCGAACAAGGCCAAGTCAATGCGTTGAACTTTACTTTGAATATTTGTTCAGTCATTCAACGCTTAGTTTTATTAATTATAGTCTCCAGTCAAATATTCATTATGCTACCGCCAACTAAGGCAGCTGGTTTTATCTTTTTTTTTATCTTTGAATGCGGAAATTTGAATGCAAAACCCTAACGCGGTGTGAAAGTTCAAGCTTAGTTATATTCATTACTGACAATATGATCCTTTTTTTCACCTTTTTACCTAATAAGAATGACATGACTCATCTAGATTAATTGCTAGATTTCTAAAAATAAAATATAAATATTGATCACTTTTTTTGTTTATTTTAATTTTTGTTAACTTGTTATTCTTCAAAACAATATAGAATGAGCTAGCGATTATTATACATTTTTTGAAGAAAAACACAGTTAATTAGTTGATTATTCTATTCAGGTTTTAGGTTACTTTTTGTTTTGAAAGGTTTTTTGTTAATAATATATTCAAAATAATATATTTATATATTTTGGAAGAAAAACACATCAGTTGGTTTAAAATAAATATTTCTCCTCATTCAGGTTTTTTTTTATCAGTTGTTTGGATATAGTTACTTAATTGTACGCATTTTTAATTTAATATATAGAAATATCATTATTAAAAATCATTAAATTAGTATTCGATTTGTTCGGCAATGGATATCGGCAATAAACCGTGTAATCAGTGACAATCATTTTCAAATTCTTGTAAATGGCTTAATACATTGAACTTGACGCTTTCAAACTGCTGAAAATTCACTTCTTTGAGCGATACAACAGATTACAAGTCAACTAAGTTGACTCCGTAACTGGAATCAATTTGCTTTCCAAGTGCACGTAATTCAATGGAAATAAATACAAATTAAAGTGCAAGCTCGGCATGTTTATCACGCACTGCATTTATCAGCTAAAGGTTGTGGCAAAGTGTTTCTTTGTTTTTGTTTCTTTTTTGGCCAAGAGAGAAAAAACGTGGAAAGAAACCGAAGTTGTTAATTCAGATGATTTCCAGCGGCTTTGGGAAGGGCACGTGCTTCTTCTCTATGGAAGTTAGTGGCATTTACAAGTGATTAAAGTGAAGATTTATATCCAAGACTGACAACGTTTGTCAACCAACTTCACTCTCGATTTCCGTTGAACTCGTTTCTAGCCCAGACAACTTCTTCAGTTGAAACGGATTACGTCGGGAAGCTGAACCGGTTACAGTCGAACATATGGCTGAATATTTCCCAAAAACCCAAGCCGGTGTCTTGGCTTAGTTCGAAAAATTAAATGTCACAAATCAAGTCAAGTTTTCATCACTTCCTGTTTTGAGTAATCGAGCTAGAATAATGAACTTTGAGTTTAAATAAATAGTGATATGGATGTCGCATACGAAACTGGAATATTGAGAGAAAAACCCTGTTTTTTCTTAACTTGGCCCACGCTAATGAACTGCTACTCTCTGGGAAAGTTGGGATGCAATTTAAGACACCCTCTCAACATGCAAAGCGAAAACTTGTTGTTCGCTTGGAGTTTTATTACATCAAGTTTATTTACTTGGCATTTTTCCACTTTCACCTCGGAACACAAAAGAAATACCAACTTCCAATGGCTTGGAGATGGTTTCAGCCATCTTAATGAACTGTAAAATGGTCTGCGGAATATTGCTTTCATTCAAGAAACTTGGATTTTAAAATACGACAAAAATATAATTGGGTTTACAGTGTGAATACTATTATTATTTACCTTTTTGATGTTTCATGTTTCGAAAATATTATGTCAGAACTATCAATCGAAGAAACTAAACTTAAACAATAACAAAACTTTAGAAACCTTATAAAATATAGCTAAAATCTTCAAAATAATAATTTGTTCTCAGGTGTTATTTAAATAATAATTTATTACTGATTAATAAAAATTTTAAGAAATGTGTTTAACATACTAAATTATTATTAAAAAAGCATTTAAGTAAAACCGATTGTAAGCCATATCTTTGGGCAAAAAAGAACACACAATTTCCTCGGACTGATGTATTTTTATGGCTTCCATTGAACAAAAGCAAGCTCCTATCCGGTGAGCCCTTGACTTTCCTTTGATTTCATTAAAGTTTTATTGTCTCTACACACAGTCGTTCGAGTATCTTTTCCGGTTTGGCCCATACCCACGACATTTGTTGTGCAATACCGAAATGTTATGTCATACAATAGGGTTCGATATTGTGTATGCAAATCAACGAGAAAGTGGCGACGAAGAAGTGTATTCGAATTGCCTTTGAAAGCTCTTGAACGATCGTTTTGGACATGAACTTCGATTTTGTTGAATAATCATTTGAATAAATTACCAACTGTTGTGTGATAATTGAAATTCGCACAGGAAATTAAACTTAGAAAAGAAGCAGGTGTTTAGAAATGCTCCTGTTCCAATTTGGTTTCTTATTTGTCAGTATAATCTTTAAAACTTAGCTTTGTCATTTTTTTTAAAATAATAAATACTTTTCATGAGTCTAACAACTCAAAAAAAGTACTCAAGTAATGAAGTCACTTTCCTCAAAAGCTAGACCATAAAAAAAATTAATGACTTTGTTGTTAATGGAAACTTTTGCCGACCTAAGTATCTGTTTAACATGCCAGACAACGTTAAGTTTGGGATACTTAAATTGCCAAAACATTTCCTAGACATACGGACTTAGCTTTGGGAAAAGTTTTAGAAGTTTTTACGTACGTCCTAAATAATTCCTCGAAAATAGTAATACCCACCCATTAGGTCAAAAGCACTTGAATGTTTACTATAAAATCAAGGTACTTATATTTTGCATTAAAAAATGAAGGTACCTTAACCAAGTACAAATTCTTTTTACAAATTGTAGCCTCTCGTACCGCTAATGTACTTGCCAAATCGACAACATTAACTATTTAAGCTGAGCTACACGTGCGTAATAAACAATCGTACATTAGTCTCCCAGGGCTCAGTTCCGGCGTTCACCTACGAATCCGCCAACAAAAACTGTAATTAACATTTATAACCGAATTGAAGCTTACACGTGCCTCCAGCTCTTTATACGTAAACCTCCATTTATAAAACGAAATTAACCTTGATAAGTCCAAATATAAACTCAAGCAGTATGATATAACAAAAAACTTCAACAAAAATTCCGATTATATAATTAGCTAGTTAGTTAGCTAGTTCTTCAATATTTCACTATATTTCATTTAAAATATTAAAGTATTTTATTATGATAGTCTACTGTACGTCCGAAATCCGAAAAAAAAATTCCCAAAAATTTGGCAACGCAAAATCGTCAGAAAATAAATAAAAAATAAAATCCAATATGGGATGGCAAAACTAACCTTCAGCTATATCGATTTCGGCATTCTTCGGCTGGAACTTGCTGGCCGCTGCAGCCGCCGGACCCGTTGGGGCACCACCCGCCCCCGCGCCGCCCCCCGATCTCACCGAGTGCGGATCGGGGTGGTTGGACTTCATGCCGCCGCCATATCCAAAGAGATCGCCCACCAGCAGCAGGGAGACGATGCCAAAGATCATGAGGCGACAACGCCAGGCGGTGTCCATGAGAGCCATAATCCAAAAACTGACCAAGTCACACACGCGTTTCACAACTTAATTTAATTTTTATGGATATTTCGGTTGGTTAGCACCTGAGTTTTGACACTTTTTTCAATGGCAAGCCGACGGACGAGCAAGAAAAATGAAAGTTCGGGGGGTTGGGAAAAACGAAAGTCGTTTTTTATCTTTACTCGCTTTTCGAAAACGTTTTCAAATTACTGCTGGCAAACATGCAAAGAGCGGCAATTAAATTTGGCATTCAAGCGCACATAACTTGCTGGTAACTGTAAATCCGAAATACAGGCACAGGTAACACACGCGATAGCGACAGGTAATGAGTCTCGGAGGAGAAGAGCAGCGCATACGTCCGAATCGACCAAAAGTTGCAGTGCCACTGTGCCAGTGAATTGAAGCGGTACCAAAAGATATAACATTAAAGCTATTCCCACACGATCAGCTGTTGGGAGAGGTAAGACAGAGAGAGGTTTTCAGAGAGAGGTTTATAAGTAATATAACCCAGGTACAGCTGTTTCGGAGCGGCTCTCCAAAAAAAAAACCCGAGAGATCTGGGTTTATTAGAGAGTGGTACGCAAGTACCTGTTTGTTGCCTTTTAGCACCCACTGTACTGTATTTTCTGGTGCTAATTGTCTGCTGCCAGTCGCAACCGCAACTGTCCATCATTCGCCTTAAAAAAGGTTTGATTTAAGCGAACCCAGACCACAAGTCACTTACTTACACACGAGCGATTGCAGTTATGTATACGGAGTTAAACTGAACGACTTACAGGTTCGATTACCCGCACGGGCTAATGACCTGAGTTAGGGACTGTTGGCTAAATTAGTTTTGGGAACTGAGGAATATCACACCTTAAATGGGTTATACAAAATTCTGTCGTACCCCGAAATTAGAATTAAGTAATTTAATTCGCAAAGGGGTAAAAATGTATAAGCTAAAACAATTTGCATTAAATAAAATGATATATACATATGTATTTATATATACAAAAATATTAGTTTATTTTTAATATTTGTCTCTGTGTGACGTGTACTTTTTATTTAGAATTTCGTGGTGGTAAATATTTCTTTTAAATTATATATTACAAATCTCAAGAAATATACACATAGAAATATACATATTCCTTAAAAAACCTTTTCTGCAACAAACATGTGCTGACACTTCTCATTTTTCCCCAGAAAAGGATGTACAACATATGTGTAAAAAAGGACACCATCATTCGATTGTATAAGTTAAAGGTTTCTCTTTTCTTGGAAACAATTATGTAGGTACTTATATAGTTTTTAAAATTTATACAGAGGTCTTTCTGCATTCAAAACTAATACTTTTATTCAAGTAAGATGATTTGCTATTTGTTCATCCTGACTTTCATGGTAAAAGAATTACCCAAACCAGCAGCAAAATTCTGTACTAATGTTTCAAAAATTCAGTCGCGTGCCCGTCACGTAGTCCACTCTGTGGCATAGTAAATATTTAAGCGACTTCCTTAATTTTTATTTTTTTACGATCCCCATGACAGCTGCAATTGAGCGGTTATCGAGCAGGTAGAAAGGTCAGCGGTGGCCACTGACAGATTTATGATTCCGAGGAGGCCCACTGTGCAACCCAGTTACAAAATAAAAATAAAAGCCCGCCTGACCCTGCCAACTGCAGCTTAATATTGCAATGCCCAAAAAAAGGAGCCAGCGAATGGATGGAGACTTTTTGGCCAAGAAACTTAACCAACCGGACGGCAAGTTGAGTGCGATAAATGCGCAATCGGAACGTGACTTAGCCGTGGCCAACAATCACCCAAAAAAACACGATAAAAAACAACACCGAAACGTACTCAAATTAAAGGTAACAACAAGAACAGAGACAACTTTTTACCGTGCTTAACTTGGCCAAATTGCAGTCAAGCGAAGTGCAACTGCAACCGTCGAGAAGTCGAGGCAATTGCCACTGCTAACTGCAATCTTGAGGTTGACCAGCGAGCCAATACTAACGGCCAATAGAGAAAAAGAAGCACTGGTAAGCACTGGCCAAAAACCAGAAATATCGAGTCTAACAACTTTTTAATATTTCGAAAATAATTAAGTTATATAAATAATTAAATAAATTAACTAAAGTATTAAACAAAATGTACCAACAGCCTCATCAGCTTATATCGTAAAACAAAATGTGTTTTTGTAACCGCACTTAAAAAAACTTTGATTAAAAAAATCAATTTAAAAGTTGTAGCCATTAATAGCATTCAAATATTGTCGAAATAACCTCTTCTGTCTTCCTTTTTTCTTTATTAACAATTTGAGTGCATTATAATTAACAAGATATTTCAACAAACGAGTTGTCGATTTTCAAACGTTTTAAAGATTTTGCTGAATTTATTTGATTTGCAATTTAAAATGAATATTTTGATAAAATAAGTTTTCAGTTAGGTTATCCCGGACTCCTTTCATATTTTCTGATCACTTTTTATTTCAAGTGCAGCGCCAAGAAGTGGAGCCAACAAGTTGAGGTTATAAGTAAGGGGTAATTGAGAGTTGTCTGTGCCACTGGAAACTTCGCTCAGAACAGCTGCAAAAAGTGCTCAATCCGCTTTGACTTCGTCTCCCAGAATTCATTTGTTTTGCTTGCCTTCAAATTGCAGTTGCCGCTGTCCTTCAGTTGCAACAACGCCCTGTCCAAAAAACAACACCATTTAATAATAAATAGACGTCGAATTTGTAATACCCTAAAAAATACTTAACTTTTGGAACTTCAATTTAAAAAATGTAGAAGAATACATGATACATGATGTATACATGATTGGATTTTAATATAAATAACTAAGAACCTTTTTAACAAGTATATATTTCCACTGTGTGGGTATTTATAATAGAACATACTTTGTATACACAATTAAATTTTTTTTTAAATAAATAGTTGCTTTATTTTTAACATTAAACATTGTCGCAAAATTACTTAACTTCAATATCAAGAACAGTATGTGAAAAGAAATACATAAGTGCCCGCGTATACAAAACATTTTGCGCCCCGAAGGTTAAGCAGCGAAACCCCAACAAAAGCGCGATGTTGAAAAAGAGAAAAAAAAGACTTCATTACTGTCGGGGCAACCAAGCATGAGGCTTAAAAAAAAGTAATTTAAAATTATTATTTTTATTTTTTATAATGCCGCTTAAAACCTTTGGGCTAGATGGTGTTGATTAAGTTTAAGGTTTCTCTAAAATGTTGGCACATCATTTTGATCGGGATAAAAGTCACGATTGAATACTTAGACATTTTAATAGGGAGAGAAAATTCAAGCTGAAAGGAGAGCAAAGACTGTTTATATTATTCTTGCTAAACTGGGTTTTAGTTTACATTTTGTCCCTTTACTGTATTGAGATTTTATAAAAATAACATGTGCATTGCCAATTGTGCAACCTAAAATATCTTTGCTATTTTTCTAAAGTTAATCTAAATATATTCTAAGCTAATGAAATTCTCTGTATTTTAGTCTTAAGATAGATAGATAATTCACATGGATTTGAACTCAACGAAGCTTTATTAATTGGAAAAGTTTTTAACTCAATTAGTGGGTCAACTAAACTGGTTCATTACTTTTGCTCAATACAAAGACATGACAAAAACTTTTTATGAAAGCCAATAGAATAGAATAGAATTGGACCTTAAATTTGATATTTATTTATATCTAGAAGTACATACAAAGGCAAAATGAGTTGGCAAATTGTAATCTTGGGAAAAGAGTAACAAATTATTTTCGGTCACATTAAATTCTTTTTGTTAGCACTTATCAATTGCTTAAAATGAGAATTTATTGATTTCAGCAGAGTAATGATACTGCAAAAAAAATTATATATATTTTGGAGATTTTATCTTTTGTATTCTGTTCTCTTTGATGCTGTACTTGTTCTAATGCTAAGCCCATTAAAGTAAAAAGTATGTGAATACAGCAAATATTAAAAGTCTAATACAAATTTAAAACGTTTGTTACCTACCATGCCTAAAACCATGATTATTATAATGAGTTTTAAGAGGCAGAATCGAACTAATTGAATAAACATTCGCTAATTAAAGGCATTTAATTCCTCAAGCTTAATGAAACCTTAGATTGGGTTGTCAATTAAATTAAGTTGAAGCAATAAATACACGCTTTTCGCCAACCGATTCAGCTCACACCCTGTCAGAAAAACGGAAACGGAAGCAGCAGCCGAGTCTTTAGTGGTGTTTGAATTTTTTACCTCCTTAGGAAGGGCGGTGGTCTGGCCGACCACCTCCAACACCTCAGGAAAATAAGACCAGACCGCAGGAGCAGGAGCAGAAGTGAAAGACACCGCCCGCGGCTTCCATTTACAGCCTGCTTAATTTATGCTAAACGCGTCGCGTCTTTGCATTTAATTGTAAAATTAAATTTGATGCGATTAATGTTGACACAACATGCGATTAGTGCACGAGTTTTGCACTGCCAAAAATAATATAATTAAATCTATACCAAAAAGCAATCAATATTACTAATTTGGAAAATGTATCAATTTTGAAATTGTATAGAACGATCTGAAAATATTTTATTAAATAAAGTAAATAAATCAAATACTTTTATATGGTAACGTACATTGTAGTTAATCTGAGTTTAAATCGTTTAATTTCCTAAAAATAAATTGAAATATTGTTATTGAAAATGTAAACTATAATTTTGTGAAACAAACAGCACAAGAAGATTGTTATAAAACATTACCGAAAACTTTATAAATATTGAATAAATTATTTGCTTTTTTTTAGTGTGTAAGCCTTTGTCCACTTGCGGTTTGCCCTTTGGGCTTTGCTCGGTTTGCTTTGGCTAAGAGATGGAGATACTAGCAGATATCTATTAGCCAATCGCCTCGCATTTGGCAAATTATCATTGTTTATAATATGACAATATTCGATGGCAGCGACAGCGACACGGACAAGCCTTACATAAACAATAATTAAATGTAGCCAAATTAAATTTTACACAAAAGCAGAACACAAAGTGACAGCTGGGCGGACCTTTCCACGGCCCCTTGACCCATCCAATCACCTCGTCCACGACTTGGATATTTCTGCATAATTATGTGGTACATGTGGTGGGTGGGTGGTGCCGCCTCAGTTGAGTGGTTGAGTGCTCATGCATGTGTGTGTGTCGTGGCCGATAATATGCAGTTTAATTACAGAACACCAAAGCCCACTAACAACAATAATGAGGGGACGATTGGGTTTCTCCGGATTCGGTGAATAAATACTCTAAAAAAAACTTATTTAATTTAAAAATATTTTTATTTCTTTAAAATTATTCGGGCTACTCAGGATTCGGTGAAAAAAATAACTTATTCATAAGATTGTTTTTATTTCTTTTAGATTATGTAGAAACCATATTTTAATAATATCTTAAT